CTGTTGTTCCAATTACACCAGCAGTTGTATCCGCCTTGCCTCTAACACAGTGCCTGGAACATCATGCCCTGCCTTTCTTTCCTTTCTTTCCTTTCCTTCCCTTCCTTCCCTTCCTTCCTTCCTTCCTTCCTTCCTTCCTTTTTTTTTTTTTTTTTTTTTTTTACTGAGACACAGTCTCACTCTGTTGCCCAGGCAGGAGTGCCATAGCTCACAGCAACCTCAATCTCCTGGGCTCAGGCGATCCTCCTGCCTCAGCCTCCCGGAGTAGCTGGGACTACAGGCAGGTGCCACCATGCCCCGCTAATTTTTTTCTATATATATCAGTTGGCCAATTAATTTCTTTCTATTTATGTTAGAGACGGGGTCTCGCTCTTGCTCAGGCTGGTTTCGAACTCCTGATCTCAAGCAATCCGCCCGCCTCGGCCTCCCAGAGAGCTAGGATTACAGGCGTGAGCCACCGCGCCCGGCCCAGTCACCAACTCTTGAGAGCCACACTCTACCCTCCAAATCACCCTTCTCTTTTCTCTGCGTCCCCAGCACTGAAGCCCCAAGGGCTCTGATCAGACCCCCGTGGTGGACACTGTGATGTGCATCCAGCTTCTTCCTCAGGACTGAAGGGCTGGTCCCCTCAGCCGCCGAGGGTGCGGCCGGCTGGCAGCCTCTTTGCGAAGCGCCCAGCTGCCTCCTCAGACAGCGCTGCCTTGCCCAAGGCTGTGCGCCCTCCCCAGGGACAGGCGCATCTAAGGACTGGTCCCCTCACCCTGACTGGAGCAACTCTGAAGGGCCAACCTACCTCTAGAGTCCCCCAGGGGTCAGCTGAGGCTGTCATCAGGACAGCGCCACAGCCCAATGTCTCCCTCAGACCCATCCTGCGTCTTCCCCTGAGGTTCCAGATGGCGATCCCAAGGCGCCCCAATCCATCCCCTCCACGGGCCCAGTCCCTGTCGCAGGCCTCATTCGCAGTCACATTTCCCTCTCTCTCCCTCCCCCCTGCCCCCTCAAGCTTTACTTATAAAATGCATGTGGAACCAAAAGAGTGGAAGGTATAGGTCTGTAAACAAATGGTTACTGCAATGTGAGAGACGCTACAATAGAGCACGAATCTGGTGCTAAGCTGAACTCAACCTGGGGATTGGAAGGAAGGCTTCCTGGAGGAGGTGTCGTTTCAACTGACTTCTGAAGGATGAGCTGGGATTGGATGGCTGGACAAGGGATATGAGAGAGACATTCCAGACAGTGGTGGGTACAGCATACTAGAAGGCACAAAAGAATGTGGCAGGGGGAGTAGGGCCCAATAAAGTCTGTGACAACAGTAGGGGCAGACCACGCAGGCCCTTCCACACCATGGGGACTTGGTGCTCAGGAAACAGCTGCTGAACAAATGCCCTTTCCACTGTTGCCCAAGCTTCCGCCATTTTGGTACCACTTTAACAAGTCTCGCCATATCTAGGCACCACTGGTTCTATTTACTATTCACTTCATCTTTTCCTCTAATTGAATTTTTTTTTTTGCTTAAATAAATCTACATTAAAAGAAATTTTATATGGTAACCAAAAACCCGAAACAAAAGGAGTATCACTTGCCATAAATAGAAAGTAGCTGTACGAAATGAAAGCAATGGAAAGGGAAGACAGTAATTAAATTCGATGTAGATATTGTTGCCTGTCAATGTCTTTGAGTCGGAGGCCTGCTCTAGCTTTGTCACAAAAGAAGATTAGCACGCGTTACAGAGGCTGAAGAATAGCACCACACTGAGCCTTTCTCCTTGATGTAATCAGAATGCTGGAAAGAGAAGGAAACGAGAATCATTTTCTCACCATGTAATTCAATGTTCTTTAAAGCTGTACCATGTACCATTAAAATCGCCTTGGCGTCCCCTCCCCGCCACTCTGCTGACTGTGAAAACACTCTGTAAACAATAAAGTGCCCTACACACGTGGTTATTATTGCTGCTGTGTGACTTTGTCCACTGGCTCCAGAACAATCGCTTGGCCCTGTGAAGGTTTCCAAATCAGGGCCTGTGGTGACCCTGTCCCCTAAGGCTGTGGGCGACAAGGCAGCAGGGGTGTGGCTGCGGGGAGGGGAAGGACCCTGGGAATCCTAGACTCTTGACCTGGAAAAGCCCGTAGACAGTGTCCTATCTTCCCGCTCTACAGCTGCAGAAACTGGGACCGAGGAGGGACACCATTTGTCCAAGGCAACAGAGGCAGTGAGTGCTACCAGTCTAGGGAACAGACATGGAGAAAAATGAATAACATAGCTGACTGTTTTAGGTCACTGATCCCTGTAGCTGTTGTCTGCAAGGCAGAAGAGAACAGAGTGTGGGAGAAGCCACAACGTGAGGCCCGAGAGCATGGAGCACCATCCCGAAACCCAAAGTGCTGGGCTCCTGAGCTAGGGGCGGAGACTGGGCTGGGCCGGGGGCCTGGGCAGCGTGGGAAGAGTGTGCCAGGGGCTTCAGTGTTTACCAAAGAAACCCAAGGAAGTGAGGGAGGCCAGCGCATCAGAGCTGCCCCAAAGGGCAGGGCCAACTCAGCTAGGGACATCCTGGGAATGGGCAAAGCAACTAGACTTTGCAGTTTGACAGGCCTGGGTTCGATCTCCATTCTGCCACTTTTTTTTTTTTTGAGACAGAGTCTCACTTTGTTGCCCAGGCTACAGTGAGTGCCGTGGCGTCAGCCTCGCTCACAGCAACCTCACACTCCTGGGCTCAAGCAATCCTCCTGCCTCACCTTCCCGAGTAGCTGGGACTACAGGCATGCACATGTCCGGCTAATTTTTTCTATATATTTTTAGTTGTCCAGCTAATTTCTTTCTATTTGTAGTAGAGATGAGGTCTTGCTCTTGCTCAGGCTGGTTTCGAACTCCTGACCTTGAGTGATTCTCCTGCCTTGGCCTCCCACAGTGCTAGGATTACAGGCGTGAGCCACCATGCCCGGCTCCCATTCCGCCACTTTCTAGCTGTGTATGACCTTGGATAAGTCACTTAACTCAGTGCAGTACAATGTGGCTCATGACAGCACCTACGTCAGGATTGTTGTGAGGATCACACGGAGCAAAGTATGTGAAGCTTCTAGTACGTTCCTCAGCATGGCTCCCCTCCCCTCGCCCCATGGCGCAGCCAGACCGTGTACATTTTCTTCTCTCCTGGCCCCTGCCCTGGCCCACACTCCAGGTCCTGGCTGTCCTAGGCTCATGGTCACCTGGCCTTCCCACTTGTCCCAGCCATGAGGTTAGCGAGGAGTCTTTCAAGTATTTGCTGACAAGAATGCTGAGGGGCACGCTCCAGAGGGTGTGACGAGGACATCCTTCACCTAGCGACAGAGGGGAAGGGAGACGCCCTGGGGCCGAGGGCTGGCCATGCAGCCCGTCGCTGGAGGAAGAGGCTGACTGTGGCCTCTGCCTCTCCGGGTTCAGCCTCGGCTGGCAGAGAACAAAGGAAAGGCTCTGGTTTCCCGTGGCGTTCGAAGGCAGTGCCTGAAGCAAGTCCCTCCATTAAAAGCTACAAGACGGAAGGTTAAATATAGCCCTTTCCAGCTGTCTAGGACAAAGATTTATGAAATGTCAGAGCTGTGTTAGAGTGAGAAACGATCTTATCTCTGCTCTGTTTTTAGAGAGTAGAAAGAAGGCAATAGAGAAGAGAAATAAATCTGGACTCTCACCAGTGGGGGCTGGGCGGCCACTGGGGGACGCTGAGCAGCTGGGACTGTCCTTTAAAGGCTCCCTGGGGCTGCAGGGTGGGGACTGGGCTGGGGAGCAGGGGACAGCCGGGTGGGAGCGGACCCTCACCCCAGGTGAGGGCAGCCCCGCCTTTCTGCTGTCCCTCCCTCCCTCCCTCGCAGGACAAAGGCCAGCTCCCACACGCCCTGGTCTTCTCAAGGGCTCACCCCATACCTCTGGGAAAAAAGCGACCTGCCCAAATGTACCCAGACCCTCCGCCCCTCTTTAAGGCAGCCCATTGCACCTGTGAAGAGTCTGCTAGAAAGTTCCTCATTGTCCACAAGCCTCAGCTCTGCCACGAGAAGCCCTACTCAGACCCCATCTACTCCCATCACCCTGCGACAGCCCCTCAAAGACCTGAAGACCAAAGACCACTCTCCTCTGATCCTTCTCCATGCCAAACGGCACGTGGTCCCAACGGGACCTTGGTTTTAGTTCCATCGCTCTGCCCTACATGTTGCTTTAGCTCATAAACTCCTTTTGCGCCTATTCCTGCTCCAGGGAACCAACTAGAACTTCAGAAACACGCACGAACGCACAGTCTGCCCTGCTAGCTGCCTCCACAAACACAGCAGAAGCTTCCAGACACTTTTAAGGACATGTAACTATGGTAATCACCTTCCCCCCGACCCAGCTGTCCTCTTCACAGAAGCCAGAGAGCCGTCCTGGGGTGGCCTAGGGCCCTGAACCTGAACTTGATGTTGTCTTGCTGCCAACAGGTCTGGCTGGAACGGTGATTAGAAAGCACTTGGTCCCCTGGTCGTAACCGGTGTGCACAGATGACCAGTGACAGGCACCGTTTCTTGCCTCTCCCTGCCTCCACGCCTTGGTATAGTAAAAGCAAATTTGGCATTTTACAGGAGTCCACTCAAACCCCAAGACTGACCGAGATGGGATTTCCTACCATCCAAGCGACAAGGCCTCAGAATCCATGTGAAGTCGATTTATAGGAAGTAAGAGATGCGGTTCTCTCTCTCTCAGACACGCACACACAACGCCTCAGTCGCTTTTACCATCCCTGTAGAATCTCAGAATATCAGGGTTGGGATGTGATCACATCCACCCTCTGCTCCTCCAGGGCCACCCGATAGTGAGTTCCCTCCATAGCGCCTCTGCCAAGTGGCCGTCCTGCCCCTCCTTGCACACCTCCGGTGCGAGCCCCCTCCCGCCCAAGACAGTCCGGGCTCCCAGTGCAGACAGCTCCTCTTCCTCCCCCCAGCCCCAACTCCTTCCCTTCTCCCCTCTGCTGGACACAAGACCCGTCTCCCCCAGCCGCTTACCTGCTCGGCTCCAGAAGAGGGTGAGAGACTCTGCTCTCTCCATGCCAGCGGAGCGGACAGCCGAGACTCCACATGCAGCAAGCCCTCATGCAAGAGACAAGCGTGTGCTGGGCCCACGCTGGGGGCGGGGAGCTGGGGGGCTCCAGGCTGCTCCAAACCCTGTCCCCAGGCTCCTCAGCGGGTGCCCAGGGACTTTCCTGAGCCCCGTGTGCCAGCACCCTGCCCGGGCCAGTTTGGCCCCATCAATCACATACTCCTTTGCCCGGGGAAGTTGCTCCCGGGCAGCCCAGCCCGGGGACAGCAACTCAGGATTCAGAAAGCAAGCCTCCTCTCTCTCCTTTCCCACCCCCTGCACTCCACCCACAGCCACCCGCGTCCCATGGCCCGGTCGCAGCAGACCGGTGAGGGGAGTTATCTGTGAATCGAGCTTGTCCTTCTCTGGGAAAGGTTCTCAGCCAAAGGGCTGAGTCACAGCCCCACGGAGGGCGAGGGCTGACCTCCCGCTCAGCTGCTGTCCTGCCGCGAGGGGAAATGAACAGGAACTGGCTGTCTGAGTCAGCGCCCCTGGTCTATTGTCACCGCGCAGGCCCCTTCCTTCCCAGAGGAGAGCCGTGCACGGAGATAGGCCTTGTTTTTTGCAGGTCTCTCTCGTGCACACACACTTTCTCTCTTGGCCTGGAATGAGTCTGTGAACTATGGCTGGATCCAATTCAACTGCATCTCCCCAGTTCCTAGCAGGGACCTAGTCTACAGCACACAGAGGTCACCTCGCCACCACAGGGGGCGCTAAAGACGACTAGCCCCATTTCCCAGGGGAGCAGACTGAGGCTCAGAGAGGGAAAGAGCCTTTCCCAAGGCCCACCAGCTAGAGAGTAACGAGACTTAGAGTCCCAATCTGCTCTCCATGGCATCAGGAGAACCCTGCCAACCTTCTCGTGGCTTCTACCTCTGCCACAGCCAGCAGACTGCAGATTCTAGCAAAGTCTATTTCCCAAAGCACAAAGCATGACAGAATCACTGGCTTTAAAACCTTGAAAACGTATCTCGTTCAAATTTGTTTCTGTGTGTTCAGAAGGACAAGGACCCAGGAGACAAGTCACATGTGGCAGAAGTTCATTACAAAGGGACTCTTTTGTTGCCAGCTACTAAGTGACCACACCGGCAGGACGAGCACGGGCGAGGGACCGAACCTGTGTCCCAGTGACCATGTTCAAACTGGAAGAGACGCATCGCTGGTTCCCGATCACAGAGTGGAAAGAGACCTAGCATGAGCTTTGTTCTCTTTTCGTCTTTGCCAGGGGCACAGGAAGAGAAGCAGCAGCTGGAGGAAGGGGCTGGAGGTCTCCCCGGGGAGCAGCCACCTGGATTGACAAGATTTTCAACTCTTTGAGAGCAGGGCCAGGGCTCGCACGTGGGTCCCTGGAGGCACCACCTTCAGAACTTATTCGTGACAGCATGCTATAAATAAGCCATCGAAAAACACTGAGGTGCAATGTCTAGACAAGGACAATGCAATACAACCTTTGTCCCAGAGGTTGGGAGAGGGCTAGTTTCTAGGAGCAAGGAATGATTATTATTTTATTTTATTTTATTTTTTTGAAACAGAGTCTCACTCTGTTGCCCAGGCTACAGTCCTGTGGCGTCAGTCTAGCTCACAGCAGCCTCCAACTCCTGGGCTCAAACGATCCTCCTGCCTCAGCCTCCCGAGTAGCTGGGACTACAGGCATGCGCCACCATGCCCAGCTCATTTTTTCTATATATTTTTACTTGTCCAGCTAATTTCTTTCTATTTTTAGTAGAGACAGGGGTCTCGCTGTTGCTCAGGCTGGTCTCGAACTCCTGACCTTGAGCCATCCTCCCACCTCAGCCTCCCAGAGTGCTAGGATTACGGTCATGAACTACCACGCCTGGCCAAGGAATGGTTATTAACATCATCAACTGCATTCAAAAATCTAAACAGGCCGTGGCCTTAGCAACACCGAGACGGTGACCTCCGCAAGGGTGGCTTCGCAGAGGCCAGACTGCAGCAGGTTAAGGGGAAATGGGAGGGCAGTAGAGACACATCTCAGGAAGTCTGGCTGTGGTTAGAGAGGAAAGAGACAGCATAGCTAGAGGGAGAGGCAGCGCTGCAGATGGGAGTTAGATGTTTGTCAGGATGGGAGAGATGCTGCATTTTTTTTTATTTTTTTGGAGACAGAGTCTCACTCTGTTGACTGGGCTAGAGTGCCGTGGCATCAGCCTAGCTCACAGCAACCTCAAACTCCTGGGCTCAAGCGATCCCATGCCCGGCTCCATTCCGCACCGTTCTAGCTGTGTTGATGACCTTGGATAAGTCACTTAACCAGTGCAGTACAATTGCCCATGACAGCACCTACGTCAGGACTTGTTGGTGAGGATCACAGGAGCAAAGTATGTGAAGTTCCGTAGTACGTTCCTCAGCATGGCTCCCCTCCCCTCGGCCCCATGGCGCAGCGCAGACGCCGTGTACATTTTCTTCTCTCCTGGCCCTGCCCTGCCCACACTTCCAGGTCCTGGGCCTGTCCTAGGCTCATGGTTCACCTGGCTTTCCTCACTTGTCCCAGCCATGAGGTTAGCGAGAGTCTTTCAACGTATTTGCTTGACAAGAATGCCGGAGGGGCACGCTCCAAAAACGAGGGGTGTGACGAGGACATCCTTCACCTAGCGACAGAGGGGAAGGAGACCCCTGGGGCCGAGGCTGGCCATGCAGCCGTCGCTGGCAGGAAGAGGACTGACTGTGCCTCTGCCCTCGGTTCAGCCTCGGCTGGCAGATGAAACAGAAGACAAGGCTCTGGCTTTCCGCGGGCGTGTGGAAGCGTGCCTGAAGCAAGTCCTCCCATTAAAGTACAGAGGGAAGGGTAGAATATACCCTTTCCAGCTGTCTAGGACAAAAGATTTATGAAATGTCAGAAGCTGTGTTTTAGAGTGAGAAACGGATCGTATCGTCTGCTCTGTTTTTGTTTTAGAGAGGTAGAAAGAAAGGCGAATTAGAGAAGAGAAATGAAATCTGGACTCTCACCAGGGGCTGGGCGGGCCACTGGGGACGTGACAGTGACTGTCCTTAAAGCTCCCTGGCTGCAGGTGGACTGGGCTGGGAGCAGGGCACAGCCGGGTGGGAGCGGACCCTCACCCAGGTGAGGGCAGCCGCGCCTTTACTGCGCTGTCCCTCCCTCCTCCTCGCAGACAAAGCAGCTCCCCACGCACGCCCTGGGTCTTCTCAAGGCTCACCGCCATACTCTGCCCAGAATGTACCCAGACCCTCGGCCGCCCCTCTTTAGGCAGCCCATTGCACTGTGAAGGAGTCTGTAGAAAGTTCCTCATTGTCCACGAAGCCTCAGCTCTGCCACGAGAGCCCTACTCAGACGCCCCATCTACTCCCATCACCCTTGGCGAAGCCCTCAAAGACCTGAGAGGACCAAACCACTCTCCCTGATCCTGTCTCCATGCCAACGGCACGGGTCGTCCACGGGACCTTGGTTTTAGTGTCCATCGGCTCTGCCCTACATGTTGCTTAGCTGCATAACTCCTTTTGCTCCTATCCGCTCCAGGGAAGCCAACTGACGACTTCAGAACACGCGACGAACGCACAGCTGCTGCTAGCGCCGTCCACAAACCGAGCGAAGCTCCAGACACTTTGTCAAGGACATGCTGACTAGTGTAATCAGCCTTCCCCCGACCCAGTGTCCTCTTCACGGAGCCAGAAGCCGTAGCCGTGGGGTGGGCCTATGGCCGGCTGAGCAGCCTGACACTTGAGGTGTCTTGCTGCAACAGGTCCTGGCTGGAACGGCTGATCTTAGCAGAATAGCACTTGGGTCCCGCTGGTCGTCAACCGGTGTGCACAGATGACGCGCGTGACATCACCGTTTCTTGCCTGCTCCCTGCCTCGACGCCTGGTATAGTAAAAGCAAATTTCGCATTTTACGAGAGTCACTCCAAACCCGAAGACTTGACCACGATGGATTCCTACTACCATCCACTGAACGAACGCTCAGATCCATGGAAGTCGAGCTTTATAGGAATGTAAGAGATGCGGTTCTCTCTACTCTCAGACACGCACACACAACGCCTCAGTGCTTTGTACCATCGCCTGTAGAATCTCAGAATATCAGGGTGGGATGTGGATCACTGCCACTTGAGACAGAGTCTCACTCTGTTGCCCGGGCTAGAGTGCCATGGCATCAGCCTGGCTCATAGCAACCTCCAATTCCTGGGCTCAAGCAATCCTCCTGCCTCAACCTCCCGAGTAGCTGGGACTACAGGCATGCACCACCATGCCCGGCTAATTTTTTCTATGTATTTTTAGTTGGCCAATTACTTTCTTTCTATTTTTAGTAGAGACGGGGGTCTCCCTCTTGCTCAGGCTGGTCTCGAACTCCTGACCTTGAGCGATCTGCCCGCCTCGGCCTCCCAGAGTGCTAGGATTACAAGCGTGAGCCACTGTGCCCGGCCTCAGGCTTCCTTCTAAAATGTTGCTGGCTCTACCCTTGAGCTTGGTTGTCCCACTGGCTTGCCTCACACAGGCCTGAGTTTGTCACCCCACTCCACAGCCTGGGTCCCTCTGGGGTGGAGCTGGCTGCTTTTGCTGTGATAGGAGCTGCCATCGCACATGGCCAGAGCCACGTGGCTCAAGATGAGAAGACTCCACAACTTCAGAGTCCCAGCTGATATCTGTGTTTTGTTCCCCCAACCCAGGCTTTGGGGTTCTTTCGGCTGGAGTTAGGGTAAACGATTGCTCCTGGGTAGGGAAATGGCTGATGTGTATCAGTTTTCATGATACGGACCTGGTGTTTGGGGGGTTGGAGGCCTGATGGGGGTGGGGGTGGGGAGCAATCTTCATCCTCAGCCCCAGCAGTGTGACCTTTGGTTGTGTGGATCATGACTGTCGCTTGGGTGGCCAACAAAGGAAATCTCAACCTTTTCAATTTTGCTGTTTACCCTGTGCAGACAGCTCTTATCCCTCAAGCCAGGTCCCAGAAGCAGAAGCGAGGCCCCAGGCTGCTAGGTGGGTCAGAATATTTCAAAGGGGCAGTGCATGCCTTTTATCTCTTGTGTGGCATGCTTGGCGGGGGACAGCACATGTCCTCTGAGGCCAGCTTAAAGGGCCCGAACAGCACCCACCCCCACCCTGCTCTGGCCAGGCCCATGAATTCCACAAAAGGCATTCATTGAAGTGGCACCGTGCCACCCTCCCCAGTGCCAGGAATAGAACTCAGAGAACACATGCCACCCGACTGGCAGGGAGCAGTCAGGAGCCTTGTCCTGCTCCTGGGACCCCACACTCTTCTATCTGTGCTCTGGGAGAATTTGACAGGCGACTGAATTTTTTTTTTTTTTTTTTTTTTGAAACAGGGTCTCACTCTGTTGCCTGGGATATAGTGCAGTGGCACCATCAGAGCTCACTGCAACCTCACATTCCTGGGCTCAAGCGATCCTCCTGCCTCAGCCTCCCAGTTAGCTGGGACTACAGGCATGCGCCACCATGCCCAGCTATTTTTCTATTTTTTGTAGAGATGAGGTCTGCTATGTTGCTTAGGCTGGTCTCAAACTCCTGGCCTTAAGTGATCCTCCTGCCTCAGCCTCCCCAAGTGCTGGGATTACAAGTGTGAGCCACCACGCCTGGCTGAGATTGACTTTTGAAACAGAAAATCTGTTGTTGAAATGACAGTTTCATCAAACATCATTTCCTCCACAGGAATGCACATAGCATTTAGGAGGACACATTAGCCCAGACTGTTTGGAGGTATTGCCCAGGGGTGACGAGGAGCTGACCCATCAGTGTGAAGGGTCTCCTACCAGGGACATCTTTCTTTGTTGTCCCAAGTATCATTTTGGCCTCTTTTCCATGCCAGAGCCTTGTCTGGTTTCTTCCAGCTTAATGATTAAACGACCATGGCCCTGGATGTCTGTACTATACTAATGAGGAAATCCCAGGGGTCACAGGGACAACTCTTGGGCAGTGATGGTGGCAGTGGTGGGGGGGGGCAGCTGGACTGTTGCCCACATTAATCTCTGTAGCTGGGTGACCTTGGGAATGTCACCTCACCTCTGTAGATCTATATAATGAAAGGTTTGTGGGCGATGAGTGGTTTCTAAGTGTACATGTCACCTTTATTAAAGGACCCGAGTCCCACCATAATTAAGACCAAAAACCTGCTTTTTCCACAGAAGACTTCAGTGTTGACGTGCAAAAACAATGATAGTCATGGCCGTGTATACACACCTGCTCACCCCAGTTGAGAGCCCCTGGAACAGGCGACCCTTACAGGCCCTTGCTACTCTGAGGGTCGAACGCACTGACAATGGTGGCTCACACGTGCCCCTTGCTTGCTCCGTAGCGGGCACTTTACACACAGCGCCCGACTGCACCCTCACACCCACCCTGTGAGGCCGCATCGTGACCTCGCCTGACCAAGGAGGCCACGGCAGCTCCGAGAGCTTAGGCTGCTTGCCCAGAGACACACGGCTGCTTACTGGCCAAGTCTGCTTGAGAACCCAGAAGCTGTGGGGGTCCTCACCACATTCAGAGTTTAAGCATTTTATTTATTTATTTGTTTATTTTTTGAGACAGAGTCTCACTCTGT